AACCTGGACTTAGGCCTCTCAATACTCCCATCAGCCATGTGCTTATACTTCCACACCCATTGAGACCTCAAGACCTTTATTCTAGGTGGCACACAAGCTGGATCAACCAGCTCAAAGGACTCGTTCACCCTATGAGACTCAAGCTCGACCCACTCAGGACGGGACAAGGCCTCCTTGACCGACTTAGGCTCATGCACCTGACCCATGAGACAGAAATCAAGCCCAAGCTCACCCCCCTCAGCATCCACAAGCATGCACTCCTCCAAATCATGCACCTCATGATCATGCATGCAAGCATACTGTGCACTTGGTGTGAACCTTTCAGGTGGCCGGGAGATGCGTGTGGTGCGGCGCAGAGGTGATGCCTCCCCCTGCTCCAAACTTTGCAGCTTCTCCTTCCAAGTCACTCTCTTCATGGGGGACCGTGGTGACTTGGACAGCTGCTGCTGAAGTTGTTGCTGCCACCTACCCACAGGAACAGGCGGTGTATGCTGCTGTGGTGGCTTCTGCGGCTTGTCTTGTTGCTGCTGCTGCCCCTGTGGCTGCTCCGGGTCATGGGCTGGTGCGTTAGGGTCAGGGGTAGAACCAGCATTTGGTGACTCCTCATGGTGAGGTGCAGCTGCCCTTTGTTCCTCTTGCTGCTCCTCTACCTCCTCTCCAGGGTCCTCCCATCCCCCCTCAAAAATGGAAGAGGTGTAGGGATCTTGGAGGGAGCTCCCAACTGTACTAGCACCATGCTCCTTCCACCCCTTGTAGCTCAGCCCCTCATGGAAAACCACATCCCGGCTTTCCACCACCCGCTGATCTGCCACACTCCACAACACCCATGCCTTGCTCCTCTCTGACACCCCAAGGAAAATGCCCCATTGTGCCTTGGGATCCAGCTTCCTCCGTTGCTGGTCGGGCACTTTGTACTGCGCCATGCACCCCCACACTCGTGCCATGGACACACTAGGCACCTTCCTGGTCCACATGAAGTATGGGCTCTTGCCCCCTAGCCCCTTGCTGCCCATCCGGTTCTTAACCCAGTTGGCATATTGCACTGCTGCCCCCCACCAAGTATGGTCCAGCTGTGCATGAGCAAGCATGGCTCGAGCAAGGTCAATGAGGGTCCGGTTAAGCCGCTCTGCTGCCCCATTTTGCTGCGGCGTGTAGGCAACTGAAAGCTGGTGGGTGATTCCCTTGTCTTCAAGGAAAGACTCCAGATCCTTACCCATATACTCTCCACCCCGATCAGACCTAAGTATTTTCACCTTGGCCCCGGCTTCCCTCTCCGCATAGCGTATCCAACGCTTGAAGACCTTGGCCACCTCATCCTTGGTTTTCACCAAGGTAACCCAACTTAGGCGGCTGAAGTCATCCAAGAAGGTGATGAAGTATTTGCTGCCCTTCTCCCTATCCGGTGTTTGCATGGGGCCACACACATCCGTGTGCACCAACTCAAGAGGTGCGGAGGCTCTAGTGGTGGAGGTAGGGAAAGAGGTCCTTGGCAGCTTCCCGGTCGTGCAATCAGGGCACTTGCTTGGCTGCCCACCACCCTCCTTGATCTCCATACCCTTCAGCTCCCCCTTCTTCAAACACTCCACAAGTTGTTGCTTTTCCGCGTGCCCCATGCGTAGGTGCAGCAAATCTGCCGTCACCTGCTCCACATCCTTCCAACGGGTGCTGCAAGCGGCGTCCTCGGCTTCAACTCCATGTGCCTCCTCCATGTGAGGCGCAAACACCGGAACAAGGTATAAACCCTTCTCTAACTTGGCCTCCATCACTACAGCTCCACCTTTGCGAACCGTGCACCCTCCCAAAGTGAAAGTGCATATGTACCCTTGTATAGCAAGCTGAAAGCATGAGAGTAGGTTGGCTGCCAATCCAGGAACATGAAGCACACCCTTCACATTCAACACCTCCCCCTCCTTCCTCTTGATGGTGATGGTGCCGATGCCGATTGCTTGCAGCGTATCTCCGCTCCCCACGATCACATTTCTTGAGTATGTGGGAGGGAGTGATCTGTAGTGAAGAGGTCACGCCGTGGTACCATTCCACAAGTGGCACCTGAGTCTAGAACGAGGTGATCGGGGTTAGCCAACACACGACCAGCAAGTGCCGCCTCCTTCTCCAAGGTAAGGAAGGAGAAACCGTCATCCGAAGACTCCTCCTTTCCCTTCCCACCATCATTTGCCGCTGCTGCCGCCGCTTTTCCTTTGCTGCCCTTCTTGTTCCAGGCTCCATTCTTCATCCTCTTCTCTACCCACTCAAGCCTAGTGATAGGTGGAGCCTCTCCTGGGTAGCCTTGAGGCTTCCACCCATCTGGCCGGCTCCAACACTCCTTCCACGAGTGCTTCCGGTTGCATCCAGGGACGAGGCACTTGTCGAGCTCCTTCTTCTTCCCCCCACCTCCTTGCCGCTGCTGGTATTTCTTGGAGGCAGCCCTATCACCTGCCCCCATTCCCCCTTCAACTCCTCTACCAGCATCCCTTTTGCGAGCCTCATCAGAGACCAACACCTCCCATATCCAGGCCTTGGTCCATTTCCGCTGCTCAAGGTGAAGGTACTGTAGTAGGGTCTTGTTTGCCTCTTGGTCCAGCCCCTGGAGTGCGGTGTAGATGATCTCCTTCTCATCTACAGTGTAGTTCAACTCCTCCAAGGCTCTCACATACTCATCCACCCTCTGGAGATACTGCACCATGGTCTCCCCATCGCTATAGTTGCGTTCCATGGTGTAGAGCCGCTTCCTCCACGTGAGTATGCTTAGCAGTCCTTTTTGCAAGTGCCAATCTTAAACTCTCTTCCATGCTTGGGCAGCTGCTCCTTGCTTCCCCTTCAGGTCAATCAGCATCTTTAGGAGCTCTAGTTGGCCTTCCAAAGCCCAACACAGGTACTGGAACGCTTGCTTGTCCTTGCGGTCCCATGCTTCCTGTGCCTTAAGTAGCTCCTCCGAACTAAGCCGTTGCCTTCCGGTTCGCGGTGCTGCTGATCCACCTCCACTTCCCTCACTTATAGATGAGTTAGAAGCTCCCCCAGCCCCTGCTCCCTCTTGGCTAGACACTCCAGCAGATGCCTCTGCTTCATCAGCTCTAGGTCTTCGCTCCGATCCCTCCAAAACGCCTTCTAGGTCTTTGATACCTAGCCAAAGCGTAAACTGGAACCGCCATAGCGAAAAATCCGAGCCGGTGAACCTAGGAGGGCCATCTAATTTCTGGGCCATGACCAACCCTAGATCTGGAGGTTCTTAAAACAATTCGAATTATGATTAAAAGAGGGAATGTCGCAGGCCTAACCAGCTCTGATACCACTGATGGAAAGCGCGCGAATCTGGAGAGCGTAACAAGAGATTAAGTCTGCCGACTTCGGCGAACCATTGCGTGCAGCTCACGTAACCTAAAAATATGAGCACGCGTTGAAAAGGTCTTAATCTCTACTTTCCAGAATGGTAAAGCACGCCTTCAACCAAGATCTAGGCCGATCGCTATCGCGATTTAAGTGCGACAGGGTATCCTGGCGGAATTACTTGGCAGCCATGGAATAGATCTAGGAATGGCTTAAGCAAGAGTCCAGATCTGAAAAGTGACGAAATCTCTACTTTCCAGAATGGTAAAGCACGCCTTCAACCAAGATCTAGGCCGATCGCTATCGCGATTTAAGTGCGACAGGGTATCCTGGCGGAATTACTTGGCAGCCATGGAATAGATCTAGGAATGGCTTAAGCAAGAGTCCAGATCTGAAAAGTGACGAGTTTGTCAAACCCTACCAACCCAACCTTTCGCCCTACAACAATCCCCAACAACCCAAAATGCCAAACTAGCAACACCAAAGGTGTTGTAGTGAATAGCAAAGGTTTGTTGGTGCTTGTTGGGTGCGAGATCAATTCCAGCCCGCAACAAGTCTAACCACCACATTTTGCCCAAACCCTTAGCCCACAACCAGCTAGAGCAAAATACTACAACCACCTACACAATCAACACTCCCCCTTGCTCGTGCTGGAGGTGGCTGAACACCACTGGGCAAAATCTCTCACTCCACTTATCCCATAACGGTGCCGCATCACCGTTCGGTGTTATCCAGATACCCAGAAGCCGCTCCGGTACCTCCTTCTCTACCCATTTGAAACTCAGGCCCGCCGGCGCCGCCTTTCCGTGGTTGCAGCCCAGCGGCAGCACCACCGATTTACCGCAGTTGACCTTTGGCCCAGACTGTTTCCCAAACACCTCCAGCAGCTTCTCTGACTCCTTCAGCTATGCCTCACCCTCAAGAAGAAATGATGTGTCGTCCGCGTATCCTACCTACGACAGCCGCTAATCTCCCGGCACGGTCACCCCCAACCTCCGTCGGACAGTTTCTCTACACAAAGGTTCAAGGGCGCATAGGAAAAGGTAGGGCGTCAGCGGACACCCTTGACACACTCCTCAGTCCATTCCCACCTTTTCGCTCAACCATCTGTTCACCGCCACCTTTGTCCCCGCTCCCTTGAGCAGGCCTTCCGTCCAGCGAATGAAGTTCTCTGGGACCCCCAGCTTCGCCATCGTCCTGAACAGATATTTACGCGAGACCGTATCATATGCCTTCTGAAAATCGACAAGTAACAGCCACCAGTCCTTGCCGCCGTTGTTTTCCGCCTCTACCGCGTCTACCACCACTGAAACTGCATCTGTCAGACTTCTCCCTGGTAAGAAACCATGCTGCTCCTTGGAGAGCACCTTGCCTAGCACCTTTTTTAACCTTGTAGCAAGCACCTTTGCCACCACCTTGTAGAAGGTGTTGAGCAATGTTATCGGCCGATAGTTCCCCAGCTGATCCCGCTCCCCTTTCTTGTGCAGGAGCATGGTAACCGCTGTCATCAGACACTCCGGCAGGCATCCAGTGCCTTCGAATTCTCTGATGAACTGCATCACCTTGCCGCCCACCAGGTTCCAGTGCGCCACGAAAAATTCCGCCGGCGGTCCATCTTGCCCCGGAGATTTTCCCTTCGGTTGCGAGGCCAACGCCTCCTTGACCTCGCCCTCCTTCTAGCCTTTCTCCAGTTCTTTCACATCTGGCCCCGAGAGCCGTGGCCCAGCCGCGAAACTCGCCCAATCCACTTCCTCCTCCGTGTCCACCTCCCAGAAGGCGGCACCGAAATGTTCCTCCACCGCCTTCAGGACTTCTCTTGTCCCGCGGTACATGATTCCGTTATGATTTACCTCGTGCACCACCGTGCGCTTCTTCCGTATCTTGACTTTGGCTGTGAGGTACGGCGTCAGAACCTCCCCGTTTAGCTCCACATTGATTCCCGCCAGCACCTGCAGCCTCTCCTTCTCTCTCTCCAGGTATGCTTCCAGCTGCGCCTCTGCCTTGATTAGCCTGTTTTGTAGCCCCTTGTGCCTCGGCCGTTGCATGACCGCATGACGCACCACCTCAACCTCCTTTTCTAGATGCTCACTAGTCGCCTTAACCCTCTTCTTCTCTTCCCGTGTATGCGCGCGCAAGCCCGCCGTGACCAGCCTCAGAGTCTTATCCTGTCCACAATCCAATTTGCCTTCCAGCTTGCGCAGGACCTTTTTCGTCACTGACTTCACTCCCTTCTCCAGCGACGCCGCCAGGGAGAACCCCACGCGGATTGCGAACCAGTGGTCCGAGAGCGACTTCCGGACGCAGACGTGCTTCTCTTTCGACAGTAGCCCCAACGCCGACAGCGAGACTAGAGCACGGCCTATCCTCGAGCTGGTCTGCGACAACCTTGAGTAAAACGTGAATTCCCACCTCGACGGATGCAGCGCGCGAAAAGCATCGCGGAGGTCATGCGCCGGCCAGAACTTCCGCAGCCTGACATCTTCCGACGCTGACCGCGCACGCGACGACCTGTCCCTCTCCGGGTCCTCCACCAAATTAAGGTCTCCCATCAACACCAGATGCAGCGACACCGGCTGCCCCTGTACGAACGGGGTAAGGCAGTCGGTGAGGAAAGTTGCTCTTACACATGCTTGTGCTGGTAGGTATGCCGTGATCAGCCTAAACTCCAAATGTGCACTGCAGACCGTGACCCCCACCAGTCTGCCTGAGCCGTGTTTTATAACTTCCTTGAAACGTATTCCCTCCGCAAAAGACAGGATAGCCACCCCTCTTGCCTTCTGGCTCGGGGCCACCACCGCTACAGCCTTTGGACTTAGCTGGGTCCAGAAATTATGGTCCTCCCCAACACGTGTGTCCGTGAGCACCATGATGTCCGTTGTTCTCTTCATCCACTTCATGTTCTTGTTTCTCTTCCCATTACTTCCGAGGCCGTTCACATTGACCTCGCATAGTGTGATGGTGTTGGGATTGCTACCCATTTAAACACTTTGCAGGAGCCCCTGTGCATCCATGGGCTTTGATACAATCATCGAGGAACAAAAAACCAAGCTGCTGAATACGACTGTGGCTGCTCCTTCTTAACCGCCAACCAGTGCATCCTGAGTCCCAGAGCCTTGACCCTTGTTCTGCCAGCATTCCCGTCTTCACGGCACAAACATTTTGCGGATCTTCGTCAGGTTCACCTTCCCCCTGCTTGCACGTGAGGCCTCCCCCCCTTTTAGGAGCGCCGTGCAGTGCTGGACCGAGCGGACATGGGCTATGGCCTGGGTGAAACTGTTCCTGCGTGCCTTCGCACAAGCCTCCTAGACGCAGATCCAATCTTCTCTGCTCCCTCCCGTAGAGACAAGAGACACCGCCGGGTCGTGAAGAATCTTCCTTGTTGTCGGGTTGATCAGGTGCGAGGCAGCTGCTCGGGAGGGGTAGGGAGAAACCGTCAGCATTCTAGATCTCGACCCCGACAGCCTGAAAAACAAGGTTAGAGAGTCTCGCTTTGCCATTGATGCCGTAGATGCCCTGCAGAATCAGATTCCATTTGGCAATGTCCTCCTGTCTGTCCGGAACATAATTATCATGCAGCTTCGTGAAATGCATGCCTTTGCAAAAATCGCACGTGAGTGATGGAAAATGGACTAGCGTGGACTGTGTCATAGAGCAGGTGCCACCATCGATACTTATCACCCGAGTGGATTTTCACCAACCCTTTTATCTTGTGTGTATCCGTTCCCGTAACATAATCAACCACACGGTGAAACACAGCTCTCGACAGATACGGGGGACGCCCGCGCTTCTCCAGGGGGGTCGTCACCAAAAGCTTGTAAATCATATCCGGTGATATTTCCGCCGGGACTCCCTTCAGCGGCACATTTATAGCGTCAAGAGGGCTTGTTTGTGTAGCGGGTGAGTGCACCCATAACCCCCCAGGCCAATGTGCATATAACCCTTCCCTAGGATCAATCAGGGATCTCCAGTGGACCTCTGACATGATGTGTCTTTGCCCATGTGTGTTGGCAGAATATCGCTCACGCGCAATTCTGCTTTGTGGCGCTAAAACATTTCGCCTCGGTTGAAATGACAAGAAAAAAATGTACAATCTGGTGCTCTAAATTTATATTTTTCTACTTGTCATTATATAAGCGCCGTCGCTTATTCCCAAAACTCACTTAGAAGCGCCCCCCTGAAAAAAAAAAATAAAAAAAAATCAATTGTATTATAAACGCACCTATGCTACTATCCGGGGCCATATGATAATGCTGGCACACGGGTCTGCCACAGGGGGGGTGGGATCCATGGACACGTTTGGAACGTGGAGTGATATCAGGTTTAGAAGCGGCGCAGTAAGCGAAGCACCGCTTCACCCACAGTCAATGCTGGCACACGGACCTGCCACAGGGGGGGCCACGGAAGTTCCATGGGGCGTCCATGGTTTCAGAATAGCTAGGCAAGAATGGTGCATTGAATGGAAGAATTGGGTACAAGTAGCAAACCCTAGTTGGGGTTGTACCCCATATCAGCTACCCCACTACAGCCTACCAACATATAACACATTACAATTTAACACACCCCCATAGGCAAAGTGGGGGAGAACAAAGGGTCACAAGACCAGTCCAGCAAAGCAACGCAAGCCCAGGGTGGATCACAAAGTCACCACACTCCGAGCACAAGCAAAGGCCACAAGGCCAGTTCACATGCAGTGCTAGATATAGTACAAGACAAGTAACAAGATATATATAAAGTACAGTACAAAGAATGTCAAGCAGTGAGCAAGTGAGGAAACGTGGACACAAGGCCTAAAGAAGTACAGTGCCGCTGATGATCACTAGGCGGGAGCGCCTTGGTGAAGATATCAGCAGTGTTGGCCTTCGAGTCCACGTACACAAGCCGAAGCTGACCGCGCTGCTGAAGCTCTCGAGCAAGAAAGTAGCGAAGAGCAATGTGCTTCGTCCTGTGCTCCAGTCTGTGCTCCTGACACAAGGCAAGAGCCGCCTTGTTGTCACCGTACAGAACTGGAGGAGAACTAGGCCGCTCTCCCAAGTCAGTCAGCAGGTAGGTGAGCCAGCGTAACTCCTGTGCAGCCATGGCTGTGGCGTAGATCTCAGCCTCACAACTAGAGCCGAGAACAGAGGAAGAGCGGGTGGACCGCCACGAGACAGAACCAGAGCCAAGGCTGAAGGTGTAACCCTGTGACGACCGCTGCGTAGCCAGGTCGTCCACCCAAGAAGCGTCCGAGTGGCCAGTGAGGACAACTCTGTCGCGTCCTCCAAGCACCAGTCCCATGCCTGATGTACTGCACAAGTAGCGCAGCACCCTCTTAGCAGCCTCCCAGTGCTCTCGCCTGTGTCTCCCAGGCGCAACGTAACGAGCAAGGATGCTAAGAGGGTACGCGAGGTCAGGTCGCGTGCAAGTCATCAGGTACATGAGGCAGCCCACAAGCTCTGGGTACGGGCCACTCGGCTCTACGGACTCGTCCGGAGGTGGAGCTGAGAGCGAGTGGCTGGTAGCCAGAGGTGTGGCCTGTGGTGAGGAGAACTGGAAGCCGAAGCGCTGAAGGACCTGCTGCACCATGTGTGACTGAGTCAGGGTGATGGTGCGGCGAGCTCTGTCCCGGGTGATCTGCAAGCCAAGGTAGCTACGCAGCTCACCCAGGTCAGTGCAGGTGTGTCTCTTCTGCAGCTCCGACTTCACACGAGCGAGTGCCTCAGTGTCAGCAGTAGCAAAGACCAAGTCGTCGACGTACACGAGAATGTAGAACGGCGGCAGCGACGTGTCTGTGCGCAGAAACAGCGACGGGTCAGCAGTAGACGGCGCGAACCCAAGAGCCGCAAGTGTAGTCCTCAGTGTGTCGTGCCACTCGCGTGGCGCCTGGCGGAGACCGTAGACTGGCCGGCGGAGACTCCACTGGGTACCAGGGGGAAACGACCCAGTAAAGCCAGGTGGGCGGCGCAGCCAGATCTCCTCGTGCAGGCTGCCCTGCAGGAACGCTGTGCTGAAGTCAAGAGAGTGAAGCTCGTAGTTACGCTGAGCAGCAACGTGCAGCAGAACCCGAAGAGTGGTCATCTTCAGGGTGGGGGAGAAGGTCTGGAAGAAGTCGACCCCCTGACGCTGACTGAAGCCTCTAGCAACGTAACGAGCCTTGAAGACAGGCGGAGAACCTGGCGGCCGCTTCACCCTGAAAATCCACATGCCATCGACGATGTTCGCCCCAGGAGGGGGAACCTCGTCGACGTAGGTGCCTGTGGACTTCCAGGATGCCATCTCTGCGTCCATGGCTGTCTGCCACTGAGAGGAGTAGGGACCCGAGATCGCCTCTGCGTAAGTGCGCGGAGTGGGGATGTCTAGTGCATCCGGGTCTCCCTCAGGGGCAAGCAACCAGGCCACGAGATGAGGTACAGCAGCCGCAAGAGAGTCAAAGTCCTCCTGCCTGTCCTCAAGGACGTCCGTGCCAAGAGCACACTCACCCCCGACGGACGGAGGACAGACAGACGCAGACTCTGACTCAGCAACAAGGCTAGCAGCGTAGTCTAGATGACAGGCAGCAGCAAAGTCAACCAACTCAGCGACCAGAGCAGACGCAGCCAAGGACTCAAAGGTAGGGTCAGTGACAACAGTAGCGAGGAGACGCGTGACTGTAGGGTGCTCAGCGCGATACCGGTCAGACTCAGGGTCCGGAACGGCAGGCAAAGAGGACGCAGGAGGAGACGGTAGAGGGACACGCCGAGGAGCAGTAGAGGGACGCAGAGTCATGTAGTGAGTGCCTGGGACAGGAGGAGGACGCTCACGACGGACACGACTACCAGTGCGAGCAGGACGAACAGGCGACACAGGACGAGACTCAGGCTCACGACGCTCTGTAAGACCTCCTGTGGGACCAGCGTAAGGAGAGGGAGCAGGGAGAGGCGAGGCAGGCGGTAACTGTGACTGCGGCTGGACAGGCGGAGGACACTCTACGGAGGGAGGAGGACAAGGAGGAGGAGCCTGCCCAAGAACCTGCTGAAGGAGCGGTACGAAGTACGGTCGCGGCCGCGCAGCGTCTCCAGAAGCAGAAGAGACTCCAGCGGCCGGGTCCTCAGGACCAGCAGGAGCTCCAACGTCCGGGTCCCCAGCACCAGCAGCAGCGCCACCGCTCGGGTCCTCAGCTCCAGCAGCAGCTCCACCAGGCGGGTCCGCAGCACCAGCAGCAGCGCCACCCCCAGAGTCGGCAGCTCCAACTCCGCTAGCACCGCCAGCGCCAGAGTCCCCAGCTCCAGCAGCTCCAGTCGCAGTGCTCCCAGAACAACCAGTCCCGGCAGCTCCAGTACCCCCAGTACGAGCACCCCCAGGACGAGCAGCCCCAGCACCCCCAACTCCAGCCGAGCCACTAGGACGGCGAAAGCGCCGGACGTACCAGTCACGAAGCTGCTGCGGTGTGAGAGACTGCTCAGCACCCCGAACCGGAGCACCCCCAGACGCAGTAACCCGAGGCTCCGTAGGCTCAGTAGCAGCACCCCCAGGCTCAGTACCCGCAGGCTCAGCACTCCCAGGCCCCGCACCCGCAGGCTCAGCACCCCCAGGCTCAGCACCCCCAGGCTCAACACCCCCAGGCTCAGCACTCCCAGCAGCACCACCCGCAGCAGCACCTGAGTCACCTGTGAACTCGACAGGCTCAGCGACGGGAGGAGGGTCTACCTGAGAGACACCTGAAGGAGCAGGACCCTGAGGGGGAAGGGGGTCTACCGGAGGGGGACCAGGAGCAAGGAAAAGCGGCGGGGGAGGGAGGGGGGCAGTGCGGTAGGGGAAGAGACGGTAAAAAGGGACCGACTCGTCAAAGGTGACATCCTGAGAGGCGAAGACCCGGCGCGAGGTGGGGTGGTAAAACTGCCAGCCAGGCGCGTCTGGGACAAAGCCAAGGAAGACACAGGGAAGCGTGCGGGAGGAGAGCTTGTCCGCGGACGTATCGCGGACAAGGGCACGAGCACCCCACACCCGGAAGCGCGACGCATCG